TTGCTTCCAGCTCCCTTACCTCCTGGCCCAGATCACACAGTGTCTGTCCTCAGATGCAGCAGAGCCTGCCCGGGCCCCTCAACCCACCATGGAGGAGAACAGGCAGGAGGAAGGCCCACCCTGCTTGAAGGGGTTTGCAGCTCAGCTCTGGCACTTGCTGTATGTGTCACTTTGGCCCTGTCACCCTCTTAGCCTTCATGTTGGAATCCATAAAACGGGCATCATAATTACCACCTCATAGATTGGGGGCAAGGATGCGGCAGTGACTGCCACTGTGCACGGCACGTAGTGGGTGTTCAATGAACAGTCATGCTCTCTCCCGTCCTCCCCTGAAATGGACGCTTTAGAGCCCCCGCTCCCTACAGGCCTGGTCCCAGAACCCTCGGATGTAAATTACCCAGCTTGCTACCCCATGAGGTGGAACAGCATTGCTGTCCCATCCTTAGGCTGTAAAAATTCCAGGGGCCGAGGGAGGAGCACGGCACACTGTTTTTGAAGCCTTCCTCCCCTGCCCCCTTCCATGTGCTGACCGAGTCTCCCGGCTGCCGCCCTGATGCTGGCCTCCATCTGGTACCCAGGGATGTGGCTGGCTGTGGCTTGGGATGGGCTTAGGTTCCTGGGGTCCTTGCCTGGGGGCGGGGACAGAGAGACACCAGGGGAGTGGTCCCGGCCTCCCAGGGAGAGAGACCTGACAGGGTCAGAGCCCGGGGACCACGCCGGGGTCCCGTGGGGGCTCTGTCACTGTCCCTCCCAGTGCCTGGCCTGCTTTGACGGAAGCAGAGGCTTTCTTATGCAAGACAGCACTTCCCCCTCTGATCCCAAGAGCCAGGCACGGGGGCCTGTCACCAGATCCAGAGAGAAGTCACCGCCGGGACCCATCAGGGGGATCAATCGGTCCCTTGGAGACCTGGGCTGGGCACAGCCAGGTCCTGGCAGTGGGAAGAGGAGGAAGGAGCGCTGCACCGCATTCCACGCCACCGCCTTCTCCCCAGGTACCTGGCCAAGCTGTCCTCGGTGGGGAGCATCTCAGAGGAGGAGACGTGCGAGAAGCTCAAGGGCCTGATCCAGAGGCAGGTGCAGATGTGCAAGCGGAACCTGGAGGTGATGGACTCGGTGCGCCGCGGCGCTCAGCTCGCCATTGAGGAGTGCCAGTACCAGTTCCGGAACCGGCGCTGGAACTGCTCCACGCTCGACTCCCTGCCTGTCTTCGGCAAGGTGGTGACACAAGGTGAGGGAGGGGCTCGCAGGAGGGGTGGGGGGTGGGGGTGGGGGGCATCTCCCTGGCAGGGGGGTCATGTGCTCGTGAGTAGCCAGAGCCATCTGCCATTGAGCAAGCTAAACCAGCACGCGGCTGGAGCCAGGGCATAAGGCTGCAGGTGGGGTGGGAGGGCCAGCAGACGAGTGCTGTTCCTTGCGGGTGCAGCACTCTCTAGTCCGTAGGGCTTTGGTCCCCAAGCTGCCATCCCCATTCTACTGAGGAAGAAACCAAGGCTCAGGCAGGGGAAAGGATGGATTGGCCCAGAGCTCCTCAGAGGGTGAACCTGGAGCTCCAGACTCCCAGCCCCATGCTGCTTTGACCTTAACTCTCGGCCTCCTGGGTGAGCCCACCTCGTTCTGTACCTCTGACAAGCCATGTGGACAGTCTCACCATGCCCAGCTCTGAGACCACGCAAGAGCAGCACCCCTCCTCTGTCTTCCCGGGAGCAGTAAAGTCAAGCCCAGGAGGGGCAGGAGCTTCTACACCAATAGTCCAAACTAGGGACCAGACCCTGTTTTAAGTAAATGCTGACTCCTCTGGCCCTGGAGAGAGGTTTCCACGTTGCCAATGAAGAAACTGGGGCACCTGGAGGCTGAGTACTTGCCCGAGGTCACAGAACCAGCAAGTGGCAGAGCCGGGGCTTGAGCCCATGCAACCCAGCTCCAGGGTCCTGCTCTTACCCATAATGAGAAAATGCCGTGATGCGGGGTCACATGGGAGCCTTGGGAACACGCGGGTAGACTCCTCCCCTGGCCAGGGCTGGATGCTCAGAGAGAGCTTTCCTGAGAAGTTAGGCCCTCCGCTGAGTGAGAAATATGAGAAGGCATTAAGCCAGAGGAAGGTGGGCAGGGCAGAGAGAACGTTCCCTGCAACTGGAAGGCTCCTCGAGAGGTCACTGGGTCAAGCTGCTGCCCTCGAGGAAGTGCTGTAAACCAGCTGCCTCTTTTTCTACTTCCTGAGCCTGAAACTGACACTCCGGAGCTACTAACCGTCGACAGGGCCCTTTGACTCGTGAGGCAGCGGGAGGGCATTGCCTGGGCCAACCTTTGTCTTGGCACCTGTGGTCCTGGACAGCCAGGGCTGCTGGGCTTGTGGCAAACCGTTTAGATGTTGTTGGAAACCAACTGTGATCGAAATTTGGAAGCAATTCTCCGGGGAGCTGGCAGAGGCCAAAAAGGCACCATCATGCTTGGCATTACTGAATACTGCTGCTCCAGGGAAGCAGCAGAGATCCAGCGAGTAGCCAGGTAATGGAGGATCTCCCCGGGACGATGGTGCCACTGCCAGGGCCCTGGGGCCACTGTCTGATGAGGCCCAAATACTAGGCTCAAACTGCAGACTAAGCACGGGAAGGCCCTCATATTCGATAGGTGTCTGGAGTTTCAGGGGCAAAGGCGGCTCCATGTGCCAGGCCCTGTCACAGCCCCCGTGCCTTTGCATGTGCTGTTGCCTCCACCCCAAGCATTCACCCCTTTCTCTGCCAGCTCAGCGCTTCCCTCCTGCAGCATCTTCGCAGCTCCTACAAGCGGGCGGTTGCTTTTTCCTCTGGGCTCTGACGCTCTTTGCTCATGCTGGGGTTTTCTTGGTTTTGATATAATTTCAAACTTACAGGAAAGTTACAAAAAAATTTGTTTCACCTCTAGGTGAGAGATTTACTTTTTTTATTGAGGTATAATTGACATACAACATTATATTCATTTCAAGCCTACAACATAAGGACTCCACACTTGTATATATTACAAAATGATCACCACACAGTTGCACATTTTTTTTTCTTGTGATGAGAATTTTTAAGATCTCCTCTCTTAGCAGCTTTCACATAGGCAACATGGGGTTATTAACCACAGTCATCATGCTGTACATGACGTCCTCATGACCAACTTGTTTTGTAACTGGAAGTTTGTACCTCTTGACCCCCCCCAGCCCTCTCGCCCCCCCCCCCCCCCCCCCACCTTTGGCAACCCCCGGTCTGTTCTCTGTATGTATGAGCTTGGTTTTTGCCATGAGGAATTCCCATAGTACTCTTCACCTAGATTCACCAACTGTTTACATGTTAACCCATCTGCCTTATCAATTTCTCTCTCTCTCCCTCCCCCCTTAATACACACAAACACACACACGTCTAAACCATTTGTGTTCACACAGCTTTCATTACACCGTTTGTTTTTAGTTTTTGAGAGAGAGGGCAAGAGGGCACGCAGATGTGCGGGGTGGCGGGGAGGAGCAGAGGCAAAGGGAGAGCGAGAATCTCAAGCAGACTCCACACCTAGTATGGAGCCCGACGTGGGGCTCCATCTCACGACCCTGAAATCATGACCTGAGCTGAAATCTAGAGTCGGACGCTTAACCGACTAAGTCATCCAAGCACCCCTCATTACATCTTTTAGACTAAACTGTAATGCCTGTCCCCTTACCCCGCTCTCCCATCCCTAAGCCTTGAACCCTTCCATGGCAAGGTGTCTCGTTTACCTGTTTCCTAGCACATGGCAGAGCCTGGCATGGAGGAGACAGTCAGTGGACGTCATCCAGGGGCAGCAAGTCGGGGCAAGGACTCAAGGGGCAAAGAAGGGGAGGCATGGGGTCACTGCTGGCCCGAAGCCAGTGGGGAGCCCCGTGGGGAAGTGCCTTCCTCACTGGTGTGTGCCCCAGGAACCAAGGAAGGGCCCACCCCTGGCTCAGCAAGTTTGAGAAAACTCTGAAAATCCTACCAGGCTTGGCTGAAACCTGCTCAGGACTAAAGTCCGCGTGGTTTGGTGGAGCGTCCAGCCCCCGCGGGGCCAAGTCAAGGCGCGCGCCCACCAGGCAGACATCAGGCGTGTCCGGAGGAGAGGTCTGAGCTCTTCCCGCTCATCCATCTCCTCACTCTTGCATTTCTCGTGTTCTTCCCTAGCGAAAGTCCTCTTGGAAAAGTCGTCATTTGTCTCCACTGAGCAAGAGGGACTTGGACATCATCAGGTGCTGCTCTGGGAAGTTCCAGGGCTGAGGAGGCGGCTGTGGGGGGGCATGGGCAGGTGCGACCTTGGGAGAGTGGTGTCACTGTGTGACACGGTGTGTGGCAGCACTTAGGGCCCACCCTGACCCAAGAAGAGCCCTTCTCACCGGCTGCTGTCACTGGGGACAGCCACAAGAGCAGCAGCGAGGCTGGGCCGGCCTTTAGCGAGGCCACCAGCTTTTAGGGTGATGGCAAGGGTGAGCCTGGTTTGGTGCCCATATTTATGAGCTGCCTGGCTGGGGTCATGGCCTCAGACATGGAGGAGGCCCAGGAGTCGGGCCATCCTTGGAGAAGAAAAGAAACCCCATTTGTTGACGGCCCCGTGTGTGCTGTCTGGCATCAGATCACCCTCACGACAACCGAATGTGTGGTGATGTCCCCCCACTTTACCACCGAGAAAGGAGGTTCAGCAAGCAGAGGGTGGTGACACACCCACCCAGCTCCAGGACCTGCCAACTCCTGGCTCTGAGATCTCAGACAAGGTCCATCCCCCTTCCTAGCCTCAGCGTCCTCCCCGTAAACTGGGGACAATCCCAGGACCCACTTCCTGGCCGCCAGGCAGAGATGGTGCCTCTGAAGGGCTCGTTGACTCCCCAGGGCCCCCCAGGCTGACATTGCCTGAGGTCTCCCAGCCTCCAGCCCTGCACCCCACCACCCCCAGCAGCAGAGGTCACCCTGCTCCTGGCCTACTGGGGAGAGCTGGACGTGAGCTAATGGTCACCAATGAGGACAGTGTATGACTGAGGGCCGAACCGTGTGCTCTCGGCTGAAAATCTGGCAGAAATTTGGGGCAGCCAGGAATGGGGGCAGGTGGCAGTTCTTGGCTGAGCAGGGGTTAAGGACCAGATGTGGGATGTCGTTGTACGCTTTAGTCACTGCTTTGTCCCAGAGTCTAGAGCAGCACCTACACATAGTAGGTAACTGATAAATACATGTTGACTGAATAAAAAGAATTTGAGGATGGGAGTGTGAAGCCCTATAGAGCCTGGCAAAGTTTCAAGGTCACCATGAGCAGGACATACTGGGCTCCCAGAGCGGGCTGGCCTGAGCATGACAGGGAGCGGCGAGAAAGGCGGTGCAAACTCCTCCCCTCTCCCCTCCATCTGTGGGCAATGCGGAGCCTCTGCCCACCTCTTCACATCTCATTCTGTGACCTTGACCGAGGCCTGTCCTGAGAGAGGGGATTCGATGAGCCCTGAGACCCTCCAGCCTCTGGCTGCCATGGTTGGGAGGTGATGGGGTGCACTGGCCAACGCAGAGTGAGGATTCAAACCCAGGCCTGCCTTCCCACCCGCTGCGTGTCTGACGTCACCTAGACGCCTTACTGACTGTAACGTCAGACTGGATTTAAGACGTGAAGGCTTTTCAGTCCTAGGCTGTGACCTACCAAAACCTCTGCTCTCTCCTTGACCCTCAATACTGGCATCATAGTGGGCCCCATGAGGGTGAGCTCAGGCCTTCCTTCTGGGTGACCTCCAGGCCAGCCTTTTGGGGTCCGGGTTAGTTCCTGGTGGGCTGGGGGGGGTTCCCAGAGACATTCTGTCACCTAGAGGACCTAGAGGACCTAGAGGACAAATTCACCTCAGTATCCCTGGTGTGTAGCATCAGGCCTGGCTCCCAGCAGGTGATCGATAAATATTTGGTGAGGGAGCAAGCAAGGCATTTCTCTGCCCCAAGGAAGCCTTCAGCCCAAAGGCAAACATGCAGTCAACTACCTGGTCCTCAGAGTGTCAGCACCCTATGCCATCTGTTAGCAAACAAATAAAATGTCATTAATCACGACAATAATCACAAAACACGTCTCCAGTGCCCATTATGTGCCAGGGACTAGACGAAGCATGTTCTATATTTTACCTCATTAGATTCCCATAGCCACCTCTTGAGGTCAGTACTATTAGCCCCCTTCTGTGGACAAGAAAACTGAAATCACACACCAGCAGAGCGAGAAGTAGATCTCAGGCCTGCTGGCTGAGCATCCAGGCTCTTTCCCGATACTCACCCCTGTTTCTGAGGGCTGCTCTGTGCACAGCCCTGCGCTGGGCACTGGGTGACAAAGGAGAAGTACGGGCTCAGCCTGGCCCCGGGAGCTTCCAGTCTGGCTGCAGAGGCCAGACAAACACGCAAGACCCTTAGGAGATAAGACCTGCCACCTGATTCTGGTCCCAGGGCAGGCAGGCCAGCGAGTGTGCCAGCAGTCCTGGGAGCCCAAGATGGTGGGCAGGAGGTGTGGGAGAAGCGTGGGGTCTGGCCTGCCTGGGCAGCACTCTCTTGCCCTTGTTAGAGTGGGGACCATGAGGCTCAGAGAGAACGGTCCCCCCACTAGTAAGAGTCTTAATTGACTCCTTCCCTCTTAAATCCAAAGAGACTTCCTGGAGGTGGTTTCAAGAAAAGGTGAGCTTTTGCGGCTAAGAGAACAAAGGAAACTGGGAAGGCAGGCTGGGAGCATGGAAAAGGAGAGGACGGGCACAATGTCTTTCTCAGAGACGAGTGCCTGTCCTGTGCCATCTGCTAGGACTCCCGCTGGGTCTGCTTTGGAAACCCGTGAGTTATGCTTGAATGGCCCTTCCACCGGGATATCTGTCTGGTGCCCAGGGCATCACCATGCCCGTGGCTTCTTTTCCAGCCCAACTCTGCGTCCACAGCTTTTCCTCCCGACTTCTTCCCGCTCAAATTCCCTTCCTTCCAACACCTGGGAGAGATGTCGCACATGATGTGCTCAGAAGGTTACAGGCCTTGAGTCAGACAGGCTTCAGTTCCTGTTCCCACTTAGCTGCTGACCAACTGAGGGACCCCGGACAGGCCACGGAGCCTCACTCCTTCCTCCACAGAGCAGAGCCCGAGAGGGCTGGGTGCTGAGTTGTCATGAGCAGTGGATAGCTTGTGGGAAGGCGCTGGCACTTAGTAGGCCCTCAGAAAGGGTAGCTACTACTGGGTCCACAGGACAACTCTGAATTCCCAGCCCCGGGCCACCTTCACACTTTGGAAAAATGGCCTTGAGGTGGGACCCGGAGGACAGACACTGGAGCCAGGGGAGGGGGAAAGGAGCTGGCTGTGGGATGCGGCAAAGGGCTCTATGGAAGAGGCAGGCGGTGGCAGGGCCGCTGCTGGTTACCTTAGAGAGCTCTGCCTTACCCCCGGCTCCGGTGTCCCAAGAGCACAGAGCCAGGTCTTTCTCCCTGCTGCAGCTGCGACAGGCAAACCCCCGACCAGGGAGCAGCTCTCTTCCATGACACGCGGGGCCTCCCTCTGCTACACTTGCAGACGCACCGCTGTCCCCTTCTGTCTCTGCCAGGTGCCCCCCTCGTAAGCGAGGCTCCAGCCTGGGCACCCAGGCAGAAGGGAGGAGCCAGGGGGGAGCCATGGCCCTGGAGTCAAAGGGCTGGGACCCAGAGCCACTTGGAAAAGGCTGACAGCCACTGCCGTGGGCCTTAGGGGCATGGTGGTGTGGCCACATTCTCCAGGCCATTCTGGGGCCTCCTGTGCTGAGCCCAGGCCAACTGCTCAGCATCCCCCAGGGAGGAGCCCACAAAAGGGCCCGGACTTGGCGTACAGCACGTGAGATTTAGGGTAGGCCTGAGAAAGCCCTTCTTGGCTTCACACACAGGAGGGAGGAAGAGATCCACTGCATGTGTATTCCTGGGGCCTCCATGCTCCGTGAGGAGGACAATGTCAAGGGTGAAAGCTGCCTGAGTTCAAATACTGGTTCCACGACTTCTTGGCTGGGTACCGTTGGTCCAGTTGCTTCACCCCTCGGTGCTTCAGTTTCCTCATCTGTAAAATGAGGATTAAGTCTCTACTCCATAGGGTTGGTGTGATCCATAGGGTTGGTGTGAAGAGTATTATAAATGATGTAAAGTGCTTAGGCAGTGCCCAGCACAGAGTGAGCTCTCTCTAAGCCTTGCTCTTTGCTATTAATATTTTCCTTCCAGAATCTCTTCCTTCGGGCCCCCTCCCAAGCAGAGAAAACCGTAGTGTCCTGTTCCTGAGACCAGGGCAAGGGGCACCTGGAGTCCCAGTAGATGGACGTTGGTCTGGAGAATGAGGCAGAGGTCTCTCTGAGCAAACTCACAGGGAGCCCTGGACACCGGGGCTACCAGCGCTCAGGGAAGGAGATGAGCCCAGGGATCGGGAGGACCAGGGGCTACCTGAAAGCCCGGAGAAATGGAAGTAAGGACCACACTTGGCCAAGAGCTGGGGCCACCCTTCCAGTCCCTATCTCCTGCCTGCCCTTCCCCCTTAGTCTTTGGGGCAAAGATTTATGCTGGTTCAGGCCTGGAAATACCAGAAATACCAGAAACTAAAGTCGTCCCTCTTTGGGCGGCCACAGCACAAAACCAACCAACATGATCCTGCTATTAACCTCGATTAACTTGGAGAGGGTTCCATCTCAGGCTGTCGAGGCCCCTGTGGCTCCAGCCAAGCCCCCTGATGCTGGCCCAAAATGGCCAAGCCAGGGCAGAGGGTGGGCCGTGGAGAGTGGGTGGGGGACCGTGGAGAGTGGGTGGGGGGCCGCAGCCCCAGCTCAAGGGCTGAACATAGAACAGGGCATCCTGAGCCATTGGGGCCCGAGCTGCCCCCCACCCCAGGGCTCGGCTTCTGCTGCCTGTCCACAGACACGGGCACAGAGGAGGTCATTGTTTCCATCTGACCACGGCAACTGCTCCCAGGGGCAGCCAAGAGCACAGGCCTGGGTGTCACAGTGGTAACTGCCAACCACGGGGCCAAAACCTGCCCCCTCCACTCCTGTGGACACAGACACTCCAGCGAGAGACAGAAGGACAGTCACGGGCACACAGAGGCCCTCACAGGGCCTAGAAGAGGAGCAGGGCCTGTCTGGTCACACACCCAGCCAGCCACGCACACATGCAGTATACACACACACACATACATGCACACACACACACACCCACCACCACCCACAGCCCCAGAAAGAGGCTCCATAGCAGCTACACCCCGAGGCACAGTTCCTAGGAGGATAAAAACACCCATTCAGGCAGAGAAGGAGGGCAGGCACCAAAACAGAACCGCTAAGAAGTCATGGGGTGGAAGAACAAGCAGCAGAGCCGGACGGACCTGTGTTTGAGTCCTGGTGTTATCACTTCCTTGCTGGGTGCCTGGGACCAAATCACCTCCCCTCTGCACACCTGCACTTCACCGTCTATGAAGTGGACACAAACAAGGCTCTCGGCAGCAGAGCACAGGCTCCCAGCACTACTGGTCATGGTGGACAGTAGGGGCTGTCGCTATGACGATGGACCCTCCCGAAGGTGTCAGGAAGCAACATGGCCTCAGCAGAAAGGGCTGGGCCGGGACGATAGTGCAGGGGGCGCCCCCTCAGGGCGCCAGGGGCCAGCTGGGGGGTGGGTACAAAAAGAACAGAGATTTTAGAGGAAGCCAGAGCGGGGCTGGCGGCCACGGCTCTGCTACGCCATCGCTCTGGAGCCTTGTAAGTCCACCTGTCGAGCCTGTCTTGTCTCCTGGACGCTGCCGTGAACAGGGCTCATGTCCCGGAGAGCTTGTGAGAACAGTGTCCCCCCCTAGGTAAGAGCACTGAAGCTGGACTGCGTGCCTGCTCAACCACATGTTGTGTGAGCCGCGAGGTGACTAATCTGTCTGTAAAATGGAGATACGGTGGCACTTACCTCATGGACGCTGCAGGGAGGAGCCCACGGGCAGGCTCGCAGGCGGAAGCAGCGCTGGGGTGCGGCAAGCGCCCCCAGTGGTTGGCCTGGGCAGGACAAGGGCGGCGGCTCGGGGCACCTCCTGGCCCCCCAGAGCCTGCCTCATGGGGCTCCCCTGTACCAGCCCCCGCGACAAAGGAGGGTGCGGGGCAGAGCACTGGGACCCAGCCCTGCCCTCCCTCTGCCTCCCACAGGGACTCGGGAGGCGGCCTTCGTGTACGCCATCTCTTCAGCAGGTGTGGCCTTTGCGGTGACGCGGGCATGCAGCAGTGGGGAGCTGGAGAAGTGTGGCTGTGACCGGACGGTGCACGGGGTCAGCCCGCAGGGTGAGTGTGGGACGAGGGGAGGGCGTGAGTGGCGGCCGGGGGCCTGGGCCCTGCCCTCACTCACAGCGGCCACGGTGCCCCCCCATCCCCCACAGGCTTCCAGTGGTCCGGATGCTCGGACAACATCGCCTACGGCGTGGCCTTCTCCCAGTCCTTCGTGGACGTGCGGGAGAGAAGCAAGGGGGCCTCGTCCAGCCGCGCCCTCATGAACCTCCACAACAACGAGGCCGGCAGGAAGGTAGTGTGGCACGTCCCCTGCCACCATCACTGCCAGGGCAGGGGCGGGCTCAGCAGGGCCCCCAGCACACTCTCCCCGCCCTGACCGGGCGCCCCACGGGAACACTCGTTCAGGATCCCAGCAGCACCAGCACTCCCGGGGGGGGGGGGG